TCCAAATGCAAAACTAATGGCTGTCGAAGGATTTAAGGCACAGAGTGAGATGGTGATTGACAGTCTTGATAGGCTAATAACTTCCTGGGAAGAGCAAAAGGAATCTGTTGTTGTTGAGGGTGTTCACTTGAGCCTCAACTTTGTTGTATGTCAGATTTTCTTTATTGTGTCCTTCCATGTTTCTTCTTTCCTTTTGTACGCTGATTATCTGTTATTATATTTCATACTTGCCGATTAATAATAACTTAAATCCTCATGCAGATGGAGCTTATGCAGAAACATCCTTCAGTGATACCATTCATGATATACATTACAAATGAGGATAAGCACATGGAACGGTTTGCTGTACGTGCGAAGTATATGACACTAGACCCAGCTAAAAACAAATATGTAAAGTATATTCGTAACATCAGAACAATCCAGGATTATCTCTGTAAGCGCGCCGACAAGCACTTGGTTCCTAAAATAAACAATACAAATGTTGACAAGAGTGTAGCAGCTATCCATGCTACGGTCTTCAGTTGTCTTCGTAGGCGTGATGCTGGGGAACAGTTATATGATGTTATTAGAAATACTGTAACAGTTGTTGATGAGGAATATAGAAATCAATGTGCGGCCAATTCTTTGAGCTCCAAAGGAATGTTTCAACTGATCCAGAGACAAGGTTCTTCCAGACATCTTATGGCTCTTGTAAATAATGATGGATCTGTGGCAAAGGCTTGGCCTGTTAATTCAGTCGACAGTAATGGGAAGCCTATATTTGGCTGTGGGCCAGAGAAAGGAATTGGAAATCCCATGTATGGACCCATACGGATTGGTAAGGCAGAACCCATAAATCTTCAGTTTGGTTTGTATGGTATCAGTGCTTGGCCCACTGATGGTGGCACTAGTCATGCTGGAAGTGTTGACGAATCAAGAGCAGATTATGGGACAGATACTGGTAGTAGATATCTATCCTCTTGTTGTAGTTCACCAAGGTTCTCTGATGCACCTGCAAAAGAGGTAAATTTGAATTATATTGTTAATATCTGTTTAGCCGACCTCATGTAGTAGGATAAAGGTTTGGTTGTTGTATTGTTAGTCTCTGTTTAACATGATAATCAATGGCATGATGTCATATGAGAAAAAAATATTGGATTATCTAGTTTTGTTCCTTCGTTTGTTAATGCCTTTTTTCTTCTTCTGGATATATATTTTTAGCTCAAGGAGGAGCTTTCGGTGCATGGTAGTGATGAAGAAATTGATGATCACCTAGAGATGCCTGGTGATGATGATTTCAGTGACGATGGCGACAAACATGTCCATGAGGAGGTAGACATAGGTTCCCATATTGGCTTAAACGATTTAGCTGGCTGAAAAACCTGAATATTTGAGAAAATTTACCCGAGAGCAGTTTTTCAAGCCATTTGGGTTGCTTTTGGTATCGCCCCTGCTAACAGAGGCAATAAGTTAGCACCCGGCACTGGTTTGATTATTTAACTAGTGAAAGTGCACATTAAGTTATGAAATGCTGCATTTGCCATGCCCAAATGAGGTATTTTAGTATTAAGATATCTTTTGGCTATTTTAATTGTGTTTTCTTCTAATTATTACTGTGCAGGCAGGTTCAGTTGATGAGGAATCTACTAAGTCTGATGAAGAGTATGATGATCTGGCAATGCAAGATGTGATGGAAAATGGCTATTGTTCGGAGGAGGACGATGAACAGATCAAAAATAAACTTGCTTCTGTTTCCGGGGAGCTTGGAACTAAAATGCAAGGGAATAAGTATCGTCAAAACCTGGATATTTTCCTCAAAACTAGAAGTGAGCCAGTGCTAGATGCTCTGTGCTCTTATTCCTCATTGCTTATAGAAAAGAACGAAAGGAGGATGCCACCATCTGACAAGGCCAAACTTAGAAAGCATTCTCTTAGTATTCCTGCATTCAGAAAGTATAGTTTAGCTATCGAAGATCCCATTATTTCTGGTGCTCCTCAAAGGTAACATTTCGTTCTTTTGTTGAAGTCTTGAGAGTCATCGCACATTTATTCTCCTGCGTTTATTTTTAGCTCGAGCGCCGACTTTATTAAGTGTGATTAAGGTTTGATTGTTGTTGTTTGTCGTTATTTTTGGCTTGAGGAACCTTGTATCTTACAATGATGCACCATGTCTATTGTACAATTGTCCTTTGAACATATGTGCTCACAATTTATGTCATGAAGTTATACTAAATGAGCTAAATTTTGGACATAAATGTGCTACAACAATAGTATCCTTTGGAACAATCAACTAGGTATTATCAAAAAATGCAATGGTTGCAGAAAAAGTGGTGATAATGATGATAATAATAAATGGTGTTAGTATAAGAAGCATAGAGGAAGGTGAAGATGGTGATGGTGAGGGAAATAAGGTGGATTTTTAATATTTGTATGTAGTGTCATTAACAATAAAAATTGATCACCTGATTTAGTAGGTAAGAAACAAATTAAACGTGTACAAAAAAAAAACAAATTAAACAGAGTTTTATACTATCTCAAAGCATATTATTGGTAAAAATAAGTTGGATCTTGGTGTCAGAGGAGATCTTGTCCATAGGGTCCAATATAGTTCTTTGAGTTGCATGTCTGCCACATTTAAACCCACTAGTAACTAGTATGCTTACACAGTGACCACAATGTACCATACATCACATGGGACCAAAAACCATTGCTAAAAGCAGAATTGAATCAATTCAGAGTCCATACCATTAACCAACTTCATTTCTAACTTTTTACTTTAATTGCACATATAATATGATTTGTCTTAGATAATTCAATTAAGCATTGTTTTGAATTAAATGTGACTTTCTAATAGCTATGAATTTGTTTTCTTTCTCTATTATCAAATCCATCATGAATAGTTTGAAGTTTGAACTAATGGAGAGTGGCAAAATACCAAATAAGTTTTCTATAGTGGGAGTGGGAGTGGGAGTTAGAGCATATTATAGAAAGAGGAGAGTAAAATAAAGCATGAGAAAAACCTCACCAATTTAACCTTTACATGATAGTTGCCTCATCATCCCAACATGACATGATATATGAGAATCTCATGACAATATTTGTCCCGGACATTATGATGGTACGGATGCATATGACTGTGTCCATTTGTCCCAACCTTCTGCACTTTTCTACAGAGGGTTACACTATATGATCATTTTCTCTATAATTCAATTTGAAACAGCTATTATAACCGTTGAATATATGTTGTAAATTATATATGCGTGTGAACCATGAGCCAGTGGCAGGATTAGAGTACCCAAATATAAGAGAATATATTGCTAAACGTTTTTGTGAAATGTGGGTTTGTTTAGTAAGGACCCAAATATTCCCCACATCTCTCTCTTAAACAAAACTGAAAAACATCATACATTAATAATCAACTTCAACCAAAAACTGACTTGGTCACCACTCCTCCACCTTCTACTCAAACTACTGACTCTGAACTGTAAAAATATTAATCATTTCTTTTCTATTTTATTCATTTCTTTATATTTAATCATATATGTAAGTTATTTATTGATTGAAGGTGAATGCATGATTATGGATCAATGAAAAACACACAAATCATATATGATTTAAGAGGCAAGTTATTGGTGAAATAATATATTTATTTTCATTTGCTGGCTTACAAATTTTCACAAGGATCACCCATCTCACTTCATGTCACATTATATGTGTCCAACCAATTATAATGTTGCTACATGAATAAAATAAAAAATTTAAAAATAAAAACTAACAAAAAGTAAAAAAAATTATTGGCCCGAGACAGAAAATGGGACAGAGAACAAGACAGATGATCTCTATCCCAAATTTACACTATAAGATCTTGAATAGATTGAATCATTACCACCATGAATAATTAAGAAAATGTGGGATATATTTTTTCTTTATTTAAAGAATAATATATTCTTTATCTTTTTTTAGCAATATTATTGTAATAGAGATGAATAAAACGATGAGTCTGGAATGAAGATCATTTATCTTAAATCATGTTCCAAATTCTGTTTCCAGACCAATGACAATAAAGCAAAAATAGAAAAAATAATTATTTTTTAATTGATGTGGGTCGTGAGATATATTTTGAACATGTTTTGAGACAACATATCATTGTTCTATTTATCTAACATGCCACATTAGGTCTTTATGTATTGGTCCACAAGATATATAGTTGGAAGAGTAACTTTATATTAAAATGGATGAATTTATTAATTTGAGAAATATGGACTTAGCTTTCCAACTTTCCTTACCTAACTAGCTACCTTAAAGTAACTTGTTATCCCTGGGATGAAATCCTGAGTGCTGTAAAATCTAAATGTTAAGTTCTCTTTCCCCCTCTCCCTATGCGTCTGTCCCTATATCATGATATGGATGAAGTCATAATTCCACCTATATTAACAAACTGAAAATTAAGCATTGCCTTTACAGCAGTACTTTGTGCTGAAAAGGAATATTCATTGATATATAGATCTGTGAAGTCAGCATACATAAAGGACCTAACATCCACTTCTCTAACCCTCCAAATATAGCTTATATTCCATAACCTAGGATTCTTTGCAAGATGCAGAAGACCTAATATATATAATGATAATAATAATAATAATAATAATACAGGTGTGGATAACTAGTACTCTTCTGTAAGATATTTTTAATAATTCGTTTTTCATATTTTTGTCCTTGAATTGATTAACTCTCATTAATTAAATCACAATAATATTAAAATAAAGAAGCACGTGAACCCCATCATAAATGGTAATGTGGCACTACTAAATTGAAAACAAATTAAGATATGAAACCCACCTGATGACAACAACAAAAAGAAGGGTATCAGAAAGAGTGACCTGCTGCTTTGTAAATGTGCACTGTGGAAAGTATATATCTCTTCAATATTCTAAAGTTGGGTAGTAACTCTGTAGAATGCAAATTTGACCTTCTTGATTCCACTTTTTTAGTGTTAAAGTACTTGTTCAAACACTTTAAAGTCATTTATGGCTGATGCAGCATCATCAAGATTCTCACTTCACAAAGCCAATGGATTGGAAGAGCTAGCTAGCACTTAGATTGCTTAATAGTCCCACCCACCAGCATTGCATGTGAATCTTGATGATGCTACATCTGCAAACAACGACTGTGAATCTGTTCATGCAACTGTAGCTACCTGCTATAGTCGAAAGTGTGTGTGTGTATATATATAGAAGGTTGCATAGCTTAGAATTATAAATTACCAATCTCATTGAAAAGTATATATGGCTAAAAAGCTTTATAGCTTACTCAGAGAGTAAAGAACAATCTCATGGAAAAGAAAATTAAAAATAGGGAACAAGAAGAAAGTAAGAGAGTGAAAAAAATAGAAAAAGGGAAACTAAGGACAAGGGGAAATTGAGATATTATTGTGCAGTAGGAACAAGGCCACGAGGAGGAGCTGACGTGGCTTGTTGCCATTGGTTAGAGTGTGTTTTGGCACACGAGGCCTATTATTCTCTTTACCCTTGATGAACTAACTCATTTATATTTCAATAAACAAAACAAAAGCACATACTGTCAGAACCTCCAAGGATTGAAGAAACTGAAACAAATGAAATTCGAAGCCAACTAAAAATCTACATGTTTTGAGTGCGGACTGAGGGGGAAAAACTTAGATTACGACTTGGGATGGATCCATAAAACAATATACAAGAGACCAAATATGTGGGGAGGAGTCATATATCTTTTATATATATGTGTGTGTGTAAAAAGAAGTAGAGAAGAGAAATACAATATAAGAATAAAAAGAAATCAGGAACATATGAAGGAGAAGGGAAAATATTAAGATATATATATAGAGAGAGAGAGAGATAAACACTTGAGATCTAACCATAACTAAAGGAGAGGAGGGAGGAGTTGGATGGTAACAGTAGAAGGTTAGGTGCAATATATAGATGGACAAAGCGCACGTAGGGTACCTTTATTCCTTCAAAAATATTGGTTGTCACTTGTGATTCTCATTTCTCTACCAAAATAATTATTTCTCATACTATTATCCAATCAACTTTCGGTAATTAATATAAAAAAATGTTTTTTTTTTGGGAATTTATCATTTTAATTTAATATAGGACTAGGATAAGAAATTGGAACAAAAATAGAGAGACATGAAATTTGAGTTCTCCTTATTCCCTCCCCTTAGGGGTGAGTAGGACCCGGCCCTACCCACTCATCCGGTATGGTCCGATCACGATCGGGTCTGAATAGGGTCGGGTCTCATCGGGTCTATAGCTAGGTCCGGGTTCAAAAATTAGACTCAACCAATATTTAGGGTCGCGCATGGACCAAGCATGACCCGTCTCATGGTCACTCACTCATGATGTTTATATGTTTTTCTGTTCAAATGTATACATAGTAACGATACCTTTTTGATCGAAAATATTATTAATTCTCTAATTTTTCATCATATATACATGTGTAATAATATATATACATATATTATTTTATATGTCAAATTACATATTCACAGTAATAAATAATATTTAGAAGCCTTCATGTAAAATGAGTATACATTATATTTAATCGGGTCTGTGAATATTTAGGGTCAGGTTAACTACGAGTCTAGGGCCAGGTCCGAGTTCAGAAAAATGGTCAAACTAACATTTAGGATCGGGTAAGGACAAGTCTTACCCCGTTCCAACTTGGCACACGCTCACCCTCTCTATATTCCCATTGGTGTTAGTATAAATGTTAGTATAGCTTAGATGTGTATACATATTAGTGTCAGTATAAATGTCTATATATTCCCTCCCTCTCTATATATCCTGATTGTGTTAGTATAGAGCAATGTTATTAAAACCGTACCGGTTATGGTACTGGTATAGTGGTACAGTGGTTCAACCAGTGGTTCAGTAATTAAACCGCATGCCGGTTAAACCGGACATACTTGCTTATATATATATATGTAAACCTATAACAAAAAATTTCAAATAAGTAGATATTCATATTTATAATCCATATTCATAATTTACTTCAAATTCACACAAACAAACAACATTAAGTCTTTAATAAAATCAAAGTCTAAAGTACAAAACATATATTTATCCAAAATTATCACTTAACAAATGCAAAATACAAATAAATGACCCAAGTATCAATCATTGAAGTTGAAGAATTGGTGAAGAATTGAAAATTTGAAATTAAAAAAAATAAATAAATAAATAATGTACAAACCAACCGGTTTTGACCGGTTTTCACCGGTTTTGACCGGTTCTATTGCATATGCGGTATAACATACGTACCGTACCGGTTAGGGGTCCGGTTCACCGGTTTTCCGGTTGAACCGGCCGGTACGGCACGGTTTTCAAAACTATGGTATAGAGGTTAGTGTGCACACATCCACATTGACCAAAGTACTTATACCTTAGAAGTGAAGAAAATTTTAACCACCACACAAAAAATTATAGTTGAATATCTATGTAAAGTTTTACACTTACATTATATCATCCACCATTGATTTATATTAATTTTGTTTGATAGTCAATAATAATTAATATATGAATAATAGATGATATGTTGACATTATAAAAAACAGTATCCGTGTATACATATTAAATAAAACAATTATTGTATGACTTCAACAAGTGATTGACATTGAGACTTATAAAACTGAAAACAGTAAAGGTTTAGACCTTTATGCTTGTATGGAGTCTCTTATCGACATTGTTTTATTAGTGTATACTTAAGGTCTTATTATTGTTTTATTATTTTTAATTTTTAAATGGAAGTTAGTCGGTCAGTTTAACTTATCAGATTATTCCGATTTTACATGGTCTAACCCGGTTGGACCAATTTTATCATATCCGGAAATAGTTGAGAAGACAATCCAATTATATGAGTGGTATGGGACCGTTCTTGTTAATGGGTAACGATTAGGTTAGTCGGACCGTTTGATCAGGTCCCAATAATACTGCTTCCAAAATAAATAGTTAAAAAACAAATTGATACTAAAATATATTTAAAAATCTTGTATCTGACGTTCATAAGTGAATGCACTTGAGATGTTGTAAGTTGATGTTCTTAACTCTCACTCTTGCAATAAAATAATGTTACATTATTGTTGAATGACTCCTTAGACTTGTTAAATGGAGATTCTAGGAAAAGACAAAATTCACTTAACATCTTTATATTTCAAAATCCGATTCCTTTCTAAGGATGCAATCTTTGATAAAATAAAAAGAGTATACATGGACAATGCATAATATTTTTATATTATCATTGTGTTATTTATAATTTATATTTTATCATCATTAACTTTTAAATAAAAAATAATATAAATTTTTACATTATCACTTGGATAGATCTTATACTCAAATAAAAATTATTAGTGAATGAATAAATATATTTAATAAAGGTAATACTCAGTCCATTGTGGAGTGTTCACGATGGAGACACATATTGCCAAAAAAAAAAGTAGGACTGCGGTCTTTATTATTTTATAGTATCACAACTTCACAACTAGTGTTGGTCCATATTCCACAGTCGAGAGAAGATTCCCAATTCCATCATTTTCTAAGCAAGTGTCTATTAAGTAACACATTAAATTCTACCTAAAGTTACTTTAAATAGTTTTAAATGAACACATACTCTCTCGTGTATCATGTATACTTGCTTTTTATGTATAAAAAACAGTGAGTTAGTGATGCTAAATAATACAAAGACGGCGTCTTTATATACTATTACACATAATGTTGTCATTTGTATGATTTATAAAGTAACTCAAGTGCTGTACCAAAACTTGTTGAATGGATAGAGCAAAGTGCACTTGTTTATCCTAAACTAAAATATATAATATATATAATACAATGGATCTTTGTCCTGCCATGAAATTAAAATATAAAGAACCCTATATATTAACCTACTCTATTTCCAATTCCCCTTATAGTTTTTATGTTACTATCATCGCCACTATTATTATCATTATTGTTAAATATCACTAATTTATGTTAAATATCACTTACCATGATCATTGTGACTCATCCATATTACAACCATCATCACGAGTAAAATTCTTCTTTATTGGAGATGAAAGTTCTTTTTTCTTTAATTTTTAAGGTTAAAAGTAAAATCTCAATATAATATTATTCTTATTAATTGTCACAATATTCATCACCTTTGTGCCATTAAAAATGCTCTCAGTGTTGCAACTACATCATTGTTAATAGGAAAATAAAACTAAATTCTCTTAATAATCTTCCAACTCACAGAATGTAATATATATCATAAAATAATATTTTATTCATTAATAATTAGTTTATAAATAACATCTAATATTTTCTTACAAGTATATGAATTTGTAGGAAAATTTAATATAATGATATAATATTACCTACTTAATATGATCATATCCATTGTATCTAACAGGTATTATAGTAGTGTTTTGCATTATTATACACGCATGTGCTTTATATTGAGTCGTCAAATAATAAAATAATAAGAATAAAATTTTGTGATATAACTTAGCTGATGATAGTGCTATTAACATTTCAAGATGCTGATAAAAAAATCAAGATATCTATTCACATTTTCCATTCACCAGTCCAAATTTAGCTTTTTATTTTATAAAAATATAATAAATTAATACAAATTAATATCAATCAAATCAATATAATAATGTTTCTAATTTAGTCTTTGTATAAAATATACTTTGTTGTATAAAAATATAATAAATTAATACAAATTTAGCTTTTTATTGTATTAAAATCAATCAAATGCAAAAAATATTGCGACGTGTCTCACTTGATGAAAGTAAATTTGGGGTTGGGCTCTTTTGAACCTTTTGTATGCCCGAAAGTAATATATACTCATATTAAATTTTTATAAATCCTTCAATAGAGTGATATATATTATAAAATGATGTTTTATTTATTATTTATTGGTTTATAAGTGATATATGTCATTTTCTAATAGTCATAAAAATTTGTATGATGGTTTAATATGAAGATATTAGATTTATTTTATTGAGTGTGATATGTGTATATTGACAGTGTAAAGATGTATCATTCACCATTCTTTTGCATTACTTTGTTTTAAAAGACAATAATGACTTAAAATAAATGGTAAATAATGTAGTGACATTATAAAAAATTATTACATCGTCAATGT